TGCAGATGCGTACACGTGTTTGTACAAACCATGTAGGGCGTTCGGTGCGGCCAGTTTCGGGCCCCGCGACACGGAAACACCTGACCGTGACGAACAACCGGCCTTGGGCCCGGGGAAAGTGGTCGAGAGGTTTGGGGAGCCACGTTTAGAACAAATGGGGCCGCCGCATGTCTGGGGCCGCCTCCAGCGGCCCCAGTGCGGGCGTTCAAGGTTCAACGCCGCCAGAGGCCCAGAATCGGCCGATGTCGAAGGATCTGCGCTGTCAGAGTGCCGCAGTCGCTCAAAGGTTGCAGGAGCCAGCCGTACTGCAGGCTCCTGCCGCCGTCAGATACCGCGACGGAGACGGTGACTCCACCACGGCAGGGCTCCGCTGCAGGGCTGAGATGGAGGAGCGCCTGGCGGCCGTCGGATCGCACGCGTCCGCACGCAAAGCTTCAAGACCAAAAGTACGGCAGGCTCGTGCCGCGTCGACGCGGCACCCTCCGGGGACCCTAGGGCGCACACCCTCCTGTGTGGTGTGTGGTTGGACCCTCTTTTTGACTCCGCAGTGCCCCCCGTCTCCCTTCTCCTCCTCCTCGTCGTCTTCCTCCCCCTCCTCCTCCTCCTTCTCCTCCTCCTCCTTCTCCTCCTTCTCCTCCTGCTTCTCCTCCTCCTCCTCCTCCTCCTCCCCGCCTCCTCCTCCTCCTCCTCCTTCTCCTCCTCCTGCTCTCCTCCTCCTCCTCCTCCCCCTCCTCCTCCTCTCCTCCTCCTCCTCCTTCCTCCCTCCCTCCTCCTCCTCCTCTCCCCCTCCTCCTCCTCCTCCTCCTTCTCCTCTATCCTCCTCCCTCCTCCTCTCCTCCTCCTCCTCCTCCTCCTCCTCCTCCTCCTTCCTCCTTTTCCTCCTCTCCTCCTCCTCCTCCTCCTCCTCCTCCTCCTCCTCCTCCTCTCCTCCCCCCTCCTCCTCCTCCTCCTCCTCCCCTCCTCCTCCTCTCCTCCTCCTCCTCCTCCTCCTCCTCCTCCTCACTCTCCTCCTCCTCCTCCTCCCCCTTCTGCTCTCCTCCTCTTCCTCCTCCTCCTCCTCCTCCTCCTCCTCTTCCTCCTCCTCCTCCTCCTCCTCCGCCTCCTCCTCCTTGCCTCAACTTGGGGGCCTACCCCCTTCCTGCACCTGAGGCTCCCTGGGACCCCTCTGGGGCCTCCTGGGCCCTCTCGGTGGTCCTCCTGCGGGTCGTGCCGCGGCCGCCTTGGGCTGCGACAGCTGGGACAACCACACCGCGGGCGTTCAAGGTTGAACGCCCCCAGCGGCCATTCGTCCAACGTTGAACGATCTGCGCTTTCGGAGGGCGGGCCGCGATCGTTCAAGGTTCAACGGTTCACGCGATGTCAGAAACCAGCGCCGAAGTCTTCACGACACGAACCTGCCACACCTATGTGTTCTCACCCGGTTTTGGCATTCCGTGGTTGCCGCCTCGCAGCCACCGTGCCCTCTTTGCGTGGCCGCCGTCCTGGCTCCAGCTGCAGGGGGATCTCGCTGCTGCGTGCCTCCACCGGCTTCCGCTCTCGCTATCTGCCCTCGCCCCCCCCTCCGTCCCCCCCCCCCGCCTCGTGCCCCCTCCCAGGGGCGCGTGGCGGCGGCAATGCCGCGGCGGGATAACTGCATGCTGTTCCAGAGCTTCGACCCGAAGTCCCGGACAGCCCCGCCCCCGCTGCCACGGAGCCAGCTCGACGGGGCGACCCGAGAGCACACCCACAAGTTCCGCGAGTTCCGCAGGGAGTTCCAGGAGGGGCGCATTGCGCTGGACGGGCCGCGGGTCGGTCAGCTGAGGCAGCTGCTGAGGGACAACGACGCCCAGGGGCTGCAGAGGTCCAGGCCGCCCAAAGGGGGCCGAAGGAGTTGCCGCCAACCGAGGAGGAGGAGGAGGAGGCGGAGGAGGAGGAGGAGGAGTAGGAGGAGGAGGAGGAGGAGGGGGAGGAGGAGGAGAAGAAGGAGGAGGGGGAGGAGGAGGAGGCCCAGGGCTGCTCCCACCAGGCCTCCTCCTCCTCCTCCTCGGAGGATCGCGACGCATCGCCGATGCGTGGGCGATGTGGCGCGGTCTGCAGCCCGCCCTCCCGATCCCGGCGTCGCCGGTGCATCTCCGACGCGTCGTCGGCGCGAGCCCCCGACGCCATCCGCTCCGACCCCATCCGGGCATTCTCCAAGAGTCCTCAAAGAAACAGCTGCGTAGCCATCAACTTCCTACCTTCTGACCTCTTCGGCTTCTCGCTCCGCGCGTGAGCCAATCTTGGGCCGCGATTGCTGCGATAGGCCTCAAGCAGCCCAACTCGTTTTGCCCTGCAGAGGACAGGCAGCCCCTGTTCAGTTGCCTCTTCGCGTATTCATCAACTGTTGGAGGTCCGCCCCCTGGTGCTCTCTCCGCGCGCCAGGCAGTGAGGTCCCGCGCCGAGCCACGAAGCGCGGACCGCCGACCGCTGAGGCTTCCCTGAGATACGGCGGCGCGCAAGATGGCAACCTCGTGACAAGAAAACGTCCCCTGAGATTCGACGCCCCAACAGAAATATTGGATCGGCGGGATTTTAGCAGTTTTCGGCCTCCGGGGGCCCTCGCAGGGCCTCGGGAGCGTCAAGAAACGACTCAGGACGAAAAACTGGGCCCGGGGAAGTGGTCTGGACCTCCGGGGCCCACGCGGCGAAGCAGCCGGTTGTCTGGGTCCAGGGCCATCTTTTCCCGCGCCAGCTGTTCGAGCCGGATCCGTCTGCGAGGGCCCCAGGGCCCGAGAGAGGCAGGGGCCGCGAGCGCCCAGGCCGAAAAGAGCCCTGACCTTCCAGAGCGCTATTTTTTAGCACTGGAGGCCTAAAAACAAAAAACAAGCGGAGCGAAACAGCCTAAAGCCAAGACGTATGATAGCTTGTGGGTAGGTTTTTAAATGGGGTGCTATTTTCTAGCCCTCCTGGAAGGTCAGGGACCCTGACCTTCCAGGAGGGCTAAAAAATAGCACGCGACTTAATTTAAGTTTTTTAATGAAAACCTATCCCAGAGCTTTTCTACGTCTTGGTTTTAGGCTGTTTCGTTTCGTTTGTTAGGTTTTCAGGCCTCCCGTGCTAAAAGATAGCCCTCCTGGAAGGTCAGGGGAGGAGGGGGGGCGGCAAGGACCCCCGGGGGAGGTTCCTGGACGCCAAGCGGGGCAGCGTCGTGCAGCTGCAGCCCGGGCAGACGTGCCGGTGGTGCAACCGGCGCGTGGCGGAGGCGGGCGCCGCGGGCAGGCCGCCCGCGCGGGGGCGCAGGGCCGAGGGCCCGGGCGCGCCGCGCCTGTGCCAGATCTGCCGGGAGTGGCACTGCGCGGAGCCCCGGGGCGGCACCCTGACCCTGACCTTCCAGGAGGGCGAAAAAATAGCACGCGACATAAAAACCAATCCCAGAGCTATTCTATGTCGTGGTTTTAGGCTGTTTCGTTTCGTGTTTTAGGTTTTTAGGCCTCCCGTGCTAAAAACCTAAAGAAAACGGAGCGAATCGCCCCAAAACCAAGACGTATAGAATGGCTTTGGCATGGTTTTTTAGGTCGGGTGCTATTTTTTAGCCCTCCTGGAAGGTCAGGGCAGAAGCGAAGAGGCACACCCTGGGCCTCCAAGAGGCGGAATCGTGTGACCAATCCCTATCCCCGTCCCCATTCCCTTCGAGGCCCCCACCCGATTGCCACCCCAGCTGGGGACACACCCCTCGAAAGCCGAAGGGAAGGGCCCATATCCCCACCTAGAGGGGTAAATCGGGCAGTGGGGCCCAGGCCACGCCGCTGGGGATGGGGATCGGTCAAGCGATGCTCACCTAGGCCTCCAAGAGTCCAAGATGGGGTCGGGGTAGTTGGGGTCGGTGGGTCGCGCCGCATCGCTGCACGCACACGCGGGTCACCACTTGCCCGACCACCCCGTCCCAGACTGGAGGCCCCGGACCCCCCCCAAATGTCGGGTTGAGGGGCGTGCGGGTTCCACGGTGTATCTTCTCGATGTGCCAGGACGTTCCACCCCCCGGAAGTTACAGGGGTAATTTAAACAAGGAAAAGGATAAACAAGGAAAAATTGTGCAACTAAAAAAGTGCGTCATGCCAGTTAGTTTGTACAGGGAAACTTTTAACAAAGGAAAGGATAAATAAGGCAAAATTGTGCAACTAAGCGGGCCCAACGGCGACTTCGGGTGGGGCTGCGGCGGCTCGGTGGGCAGCCGGCAGGGCTTCGCCGCGTGAGACCCGGACGCGGCGGCCTCTCCTGGCCAGGCGCCCTCGCCCGGCTTCCGGCCCCCGGGGCCCTCCACGGATCGATCGGGCTCGAGAGATCTCCTCCTCCTCCTCCTCCTCCTCCTCCCTCTCCTCCTCCCCTTCCTTTCCCTCTTTCTCCTCCTCCTTCTCCTCCTCCTCCTCTTCCTTCCCCTCCTCCTCCTCTTCCTCCTCCTCCTCCTCCTCCTCCTCCTCTTCCTGACACCTGACGCTTGATGGCTGCAAGTTTCGTCCTCCAGCCGTGAGTTTTCACGAGGCCACCATTTTTTCTCGCTGCGTCGGATCTCAGAGGGACACGCACTTCGGGCTCAGAGTTCGGGTTCAGCAGCTGGAGTACGGAGGAGCAGTTCGGGTTCGGGGTCCCCGTCGCTCGAGCTCTGCGCTTGCCCTTTGCGGTAACGTGAGCGCAGCCGCAGGCGGTGCGTCTGCAGGCCGGGCCTGTAGCTCTTGGGTTCTCCGCGCCGTTGCACTGCTGCGGGGCGGAGGCCTGCCGCTGAGAGCCGTACAAGTCCTCCCCCAAGGCGTACAAGCCACCCCCAATCCGTACAAGCCCGCGCAGCATGAACGAAATGGGTACGCAAAGAGCGGGGACAAAGACCGACAGCAGTTCCAGTCCGTTTTGAGCAGGATTTGTTGTCGGTGCCGCCGCGGATGTTGCCCATTCGGGACAGAAGGTCGCCTGCCCATCAGCGGCCGTTGTCGGTTTTGGGCGGCGTATGTTTGTTGTTGGGCATCATATCCTTTTTTCCGCACCCATTTCGGGCGTGTCAGAAGAGGCAATGACATACTTTTGCCCTCATCCAGAACTCTTGTCCTCAGAAGGGGGCACAATGTCGAAGGTCGCCCTGTGAGGGAACTTCGAAGATCCTTTTTGAGCACCTTTGGAGGCTCTCAAGGGTCGAGGAATCGCGTCAGGAAGGACATTCGAAGACCCCTCTAGTACAGATTCTTCGTGCAGCAGCGACTTTTTTTGGACTGGACCCTGGCCGTCTCCTCGGAGCTCGCTTCATATTTTGGTTCGCGGAACTTTCGTATATCTAGGCCTGGACTGCTGTCTAAGAAACCGCTTCGAGTGAAGTTCGTGTTCTTACCTCAGCACTTTCCCAACTGTAACCAGGTCGCAGGCCTGAAGGTTGACACCAACACCAATATCGGTGGTTTGCTTCCACCGAGGGATGGCGATCCCGATCTCGGTGATGGTGGTAGTATTCTGGCTTCCAAGGTGACCGAAATATTACCACCAACACCGACATCTGTGGAGGCGGCCCCCTGTCTTGGTGTTGGTGCCCATTTCCAGGCCTCCAATAACTTTGACCAGGGGTGTATCGTCTCACCCTTGTTCTGGCTGCGCGGCCGATGGTCTGCGGGACACGCTGCGCCCACCAGCCGATCGGAGCTGCCCCCCCCCGCCTCTTGCCTCCCTCTCTTTCCCCTTGTCCTCTTCGAAGCCATCTTTTATGCTTTCTTGATTCCTTGATTCCTCGCCTGTGGTGAGGTTCCACATTTTATGCTCTGCAGCGCCCGTCTGGGGCCCTGCGTCGTTCGAGCTAAGGGGTAGGTATCTCTGCCCACCCCTCGGCGGTCTCCATTCGACGGCCGCAGCTATCGACTCGACTGCTGCTGCGCCACTGGTTCCCGGTTCCTCTTCGAACCCATATTGGGACAACATGCGTTCTGCGTTTGGTCGGATGGCCTGGTCGATCTACGGTTGGACGGCATGTGCTAAGGTTTCTCGGTTCGCTCCGAGTGGAGCTGCGCTCGTTGGAGATTTCGGAGTGCATGGGCGTGGCCCCTCTCTCCCTCCTCCATCTTGTCCTCCTCCTCCTCCCTCCTCCTCCTCCTCCTCCTCCTCCTCTTCCTCCTCCTCCTCCTCCTCCTCCCTCCTCCCCTCCTCCTCCTCCCTCCTCCTCCTCCTCCCTCCTCCTCCTCCTCCTCCTCCTCCTCCTCCTCCTCCTCCTCCTCCTCCTCCTCTCTCCCCCCCTCCCCTCGCCTTCTGTCGTCGTGCAGTGTGTATGCAGTATTGTTGGCCATTTGGGCTTCGTGTAATATTTGGATGCGGCACTTTCGCTTTTCTTTCAGGCCAAGGCCCACTGCAGGAGTCTGCCTATCGCAGACCGGTCCGTGTGAGGTCCCTGGCGTGCCTGGCTGCAGTGTGATCCGCACAACGGGGAGCGGAGCTGGCCTGCCCATCGCCGAGGGAGAGAGAGAGGAGCCGACACGCAGTCGAGACGCCGACACAGGAAGCAGTCCGGCTCCAGCTCAGGGGCCACCGGAGGGGAGGATTGGCCCAGGAGGGGGGAGCGAGGACCTCTGGTCGACGAGCCCTCGCCACTCGGGTGGCCTGGGCGTCCCCGTCCCCGTCCCGCAACGACTCGGCACGGACCTCAACCCATCGGGCGTCCGTCCGGGCTCTCCTCGAGTCGGCCGCCTTAAGGGTCCCCCGGCAGTGCCTCCGGCGCCGCTCCCGGCGCACACCTCGAGGAAGAGAGGAGCGTCTCTGTGGACGGTCGGGGCGTCGAGGCAGGGAGCAGCGCGGGCGTTCGCGAGGGGCTCTCGCGGCTCGCTGCTCCTCGGGTCCTCCTGCCCTGACCTGCCAGGAGGGCCAAAAAATAGCACCCGATCTAAAAACCGATCCCAAAGCTATTCTACGTCTTGCTTTTAAGGCGTTTCGTTCCGTCTTTTAGGTTTTTAGGCCTCCAGTGCTAAAAAATAGCTCTCTGGAAGGTCAGGGTGTTCCTCCAGCGCTCCTCGTGCACCCGGAGTCTCGTGCTCGTTTTGTTTGTAGTCGCTCGACCGTAGACGTACCCTTTTGGAGATCCGAGCGGATCTCTCGGATTGGCGCTGGGCCCTCCCTGGCGCCGCCCCTGCGCGTCAGGGAGGGGGTTCCGCGCTGAACCAGGGAGTCCCAGCGGAGCTCCAAAAACGTAAGTTTGTGCTGGTCTTCCCTCTCGCAGGAGCACTGCAACTGCCTCAGCAGAATAGTCAGCGGGCGCTACGTCCTGGACATCACGTGCTGCAGGCAGTGCAGCGTGTTTCTGGACGTGCAGAGGTGGCACCGCGAGGGTCGCCAGGATATTTTCTTTCTTTTGATGCCGTCCGTACACTTAAGTCGGGCCTGTCCCTCTACAGGAGGAACACTCAAACACAGTAAAACAACTGTCTGGGAACGATTTTCATTTGACTATCTTTAAATACGTTTTGACTTTCTGGGAATATTTTTGTTTTTCGTCCAACATCCGCCTCTAGTCGGCGTCACCCCAACATACGTATACTATATGTGCGTCGCCCCCCCAGGGGCGATACGCGCACCGAGAAATTTTATAGTGTATGCGTGGTGGCGGGCGCTTTCTGGCCACACCGCTCGGGAAACGATATACTAGATGATGAGTGTACAACATGTTTGGGTCGGACGCGCGTCTCCAAGGAGAACATGTAGTACCAGTATGTCTTTGTGCGTCCCCTCTGGGGGGACACGCCCGACCGAACCGCACACTGACGCGCGCAACCTTGGGGAAGGCACGAGCCGCGCACCGGCGGGGCAGAGGAGCTCTCGGCACGGCCTCGCGCGGCGGCACGGCGAGGGCTCCACTCGGTCTTCTCGCACACATACGCAATCCCCGGTCGAGCACTAGGCTTAAGTCGGGCCTGTCCCTCTGCAGGAGGAATATTCAAAAATTACAAAAAAGTCAGGGGACCATTTTTTTCCTATCTTTGAGCATTTTTTTGTGGTTTTTTCGGAGTATTTTTAATTTTTCGCCCAAAATCCCCCTGTAGGGGGACAGGCCCGACCTAAAACTAGGCCCGGTCCAATACTGGACTCGGTATGGAAAAACTGAAGTAGAAGCGGTCCCAAGCTGTGCATGGCCTGCCTTTGGAACGCTTCGGCCTTGCAGAGAGCTTCGAATCAGCCACGTCGCCTGGGCTCCACTTGGAAACCATCTGCACCAGCTCATTCCGGCCAGGGCTCTGCAGCTTGAGGTGTACATTGTGCTTCATGGCGCGTGGTCAAATTTCCGATGTCTGTGGCGCAGAACAAGCATGCGCCGCGCCGAAACAGCAGTATCACTTTCAGGTGAATTCTGCGCGGCGCTTTGGCAAGATCGACATGTCGCCTGCTCGCGCGCGGCCACGCCGCCGCTTTCCGACGGCTGGGCGAGCGAGAAACATTCGCCGCGCCCACCCGGAAATTCCACTTTCACGCCCGAGCTGAACGGCGCTTCTGGGCGAGAGCAATGTTTCGCCAGCTCGCGCGCGACCCCTTGGCCGACGAATTGGCGAGCGAAGACTATGCGCTCCGCGCGTGCGGGAGCGCAATTTTCCAGACCAGTACACGGCGATGAGGCAGGAACGACACTTCGCCTTTTTGCGCGCGATGTACGCCACGTCCCATTCCTGCTGCGGACTGTGCAGCGGCGGCGACAGAGTGTCCATGTCAAGAGGAAAGTCGCTGATATTTTTACCTAACAGCGAAGACTGACAGGTTTCTAGTGGTGTCAAAAGAGAGCATCTGATGACTCAGAAGGGAGGTCTGGGCGGCATCCGGACAGCGAGGGCCGGGCTCAGGGCCGGGCTCGTTTAAGCAAACAGTCACACACTTCGTGCTCTTCGACCTCCCAGAACTCCACTCCCGGGCCACATTTTGAATGCCCGAAGCCAAAGGTAGGCCACTTCGTGCTCTTCGACTTCCCAGAACTCCATTCCCGGGCCACATTTTGGATGCTCGGAGCCAACTGTAGGCCACTTCGTGCTCTTCGACTTCCCAGAACTCCATTCCCGGGCCACATTTTGGATGCCCGGAGCCAACTGTAGGCCACTGCGTGGTCTTCGAGTTCCCAGAACTCCATTCCTGGGCATGATTTTGAATGCCCGGAGCCAACTGTAAGCCACTTCGTGTTCTTCGAGTTTCCAAAATTCCATTCCCGGGCCACATTTTGAATGCTGAGGCAGGCTGATGCTGAGGCTGAGGCAGGCTGAGGCTGAGGCAGGCTGAGGCTGAGGCCGAGGCTGAAGGAAGATTGATGCTGAGGCTGAAGCAGGCTGAGGCTGAGGCAGAGGCAGGCTGAGGCTGAGGCTGAGGCAGGCTGATGCTGAGGCAGGCTGAGGCTGAGGCTGAGGCTGATGCAGGCTGAGGCTGAGGCAGGCTGAGGCTGAGGCCGAGGCTGAAGGCAGACTGAGGCTGAGGCTGAATCAGGCTGAGGCTGAGGCTGAGGCTGAGGCAGGCTGAGGCTGAGGCTGAGGCAGGCTGATGCTGAGGCAGGCTGAGGCTGAGGCTGAGGCTGATGCAGGCTGAGGCTGAGGCAGGCTGAGGCTGAGGCCGAGGCTGAAGGCAGACTGAGGATGAGGCTGAAGCAGGCTGAGGCTGAGGCAGAGGCAGGCTGAGGCTGAGGCAGGCTGATGCTGAGGCAGGCTGAGGCTGAGGCTGAGGCTGATGCAGGCTGAGGCTGAGGCAGGCTGAGGCTGAGGCCGAGGCCGACGGCAGGCTGAGGCTGAGGCTGAAGCAGGCTGAGGCTGAGGCAGAGGCAGGCTGAGGCTGAGGCTGAGGCAGGCTGATGCTGAGGCAGGCTGAGGCTGAGGCTGAGGCTCATGCAGGCTGAGGCTGAGGCAGGCGGAGGCTGAGGCCGAGGCTGAAGGCAGATTGATGCTGAGGCTGAAGCAGGCTGAGGCTGAGGCTGAGGCAGGCTGAGGCTGAGGCTGAGGCAGGCTGATGCTGAGGCAGGCTGAGGCTGAGGCTGAGGCTGATGCAGGCTGAGGCTGAGGCTGCCTGAGGCTGAGGCCGAGGCTGAAGGCAGACTGAGGCTGAGGCTGAAGCAGGCTGAGGCTGAGGCTGAGGCTGAGGCAGGCTGAGGCTGAGGCTGAGGCAGGCTGATGCTGATGCAGGCTGAGGCTGAGGCTGAGACTGATGCAGGCTGAGGCTGAGGCAGGCTGAGGCTGAGGCCGAGGCTGAAGGCAGATTGAGGCTGAGGCTGAAGCAGGCTAAGGCTGAGGCAGGCTGAGGCTGAGGCTGATGCAGGCTGATGCTGAGGCAGGGTGAGGCTGAGGCTGAGGCTGATGCAGGCTGAGGCTGAGGCAGGCTGAAGCTGAGGCCGAGGCTGAAGGCAGACTGAGGCTGAGGCTGAAGCAGACTGAGGCTGAGGCTGAGGCAGGCTGAGGCTGAGGCTGAAGCAGGCTGATGCTGAGGCAGGCTGAGGCTGAGGCTGAGGCTGATGCAGGCTGAGGCTGAGGCAGGCTGAGGCTGAGGCTGAGGCTCATGCAGGGTGAGGCTGAGGCAGGCTGAGGCTGAGGCCGAGGCTGGAGGCAGACTGATGCTGAGGCTGAAGCAGGCTGTGGCTGAGGCTGAGGCTGAGGCAGGCTGAGGCTGAGGCTGAGGCAGGCTGAGGCTGAGGCTGTGACTGCGACTGCCGTTGCCACTGCGACTGTCCTCGCGAATGCGACTACGACTGCGAGAACAGTAGAATTTTACAACTGGATTATCATCTGAATCTTAAGGGGAATGCTTCCAGCTATGCTCCTACACATCGCTGTTAGGTTGCGGTGCCAGGATATTTTTTGCTGGTGGGCTGGGGGTTCCTGGATGTGGCTGCCATCGGCCGCTACGCTCCAGATAGAGCCTCGCGTTCGGCGCGTCTCGCCTTCGGCGGAAGCCGACACAAAGCCAGCGGCGGAAGATGGCGGAAGCAAGAGTGAGGCGTCATCATTTCGGGGGCCAGTGCTCTGGAATCGACACACTAAGGAATTTTGGCATGATGATGATGATGATTATGATGACGACGACGATGATGATGATGTTGATGATGATGATGCTGATGATGACGATGATGCTGATGATGTTGATGATGATGCTGATGATGACGATGCTGCTGATGATGATGAAGACGATGATGATGATGATGATGATGATGATGATGATGATGATGATGATGATGATGATGATGCTGATGCTGACTGATGATGATGGATGATGCTGATGATGATGATGCTGATGATGCTGCTGCTGATGATGATGATGATGATGATGATGGTGATGATGATGATGCTGCTGCTGCTGCTGATGATGATGGATGATGGTGATGATGATGAATATATGATAGAGGGATGAGGGATTCGGATGAGGATGAATGATGATGATGAGGATGATTATTAGGAGGAGGAAGGGATGAGGAGGAGAGGAGAGAGGAGGAGCCAGGAGGACGAGGATAGCGCTCCGAGAGCTCCGCGGGCAGCGTCTCGAGGACAGGAAGGACGGGGAGGAGGAGGAGGGAGGAGTAGTAGGGAGAAGGAGGAGGATGATGAGGAGAGGAGGAGGCGGATGATGAGGAGGAGGATGAGGAGGCGGATGAGTGAGTACGGATGCTGTATTGGTTGAGTGGGGAGGCTAAGGATGAGGAGTAGGCAGGATGCTTCTGATGAGGAGAGGGAAGGGGGTAGGGAGAGTAGGAGGGGAGTAGGCTGGAGAAGGAGGCAGGGAGTAGGAGGGGATTAGGAGGAGAGCGGCGGCGGCGGCGCGGCGGCGGCGAGGAGAGGAGGAGGAGGAGGAGGAGGAGGAAGAGGAATAATAATAATAATACGAATAATAATCATAATAGTAGTAATAATAATAAGAATAAGAAGAATACGAATACTAATAATAAGAACAATACTAATACGAAGACGTATAATAATCATAATACTATTACTAGTATTAATAAGAAAACTAATACTAATAAGAAGAATATTACTACGAATAATAATAATAATCAGAATATGAACAAGAATACTACGACTAATTTGAATATTAAAAATGAGAAAAATAAGAAGAACCTTCAGAACAATCATAATAACAGTACTAATAATAATCATAATATTAATAATAATAATACTAATCATAATAATAATACTACTAATAATAATATTATTAATAATAATACTAGTAATAATAATATTAACAATAGTAATAATGATAATAATAATATTAATAATAATCACAGTAATAATACTAATAATAATATTAATAATAATGATAGGAATAATATTCATACTATTAATACTACTACTACTACTAATAATAATAATCATAGTAATAATATTAATACTAATAAAACATAACAATAAGAATACTATTAAGAAGAAGAGTGCGAATAATATTATCAGAAGAATAAGAATAATAATAAGAGGAGGAGGAAGAGGAGGAAGAGGCCATGTGCTAGCAGGCCTTGAACAAGGCCGACGACACGACCATCGGAGCGTGCTTGTGGGTGCTCGCCGACGCCGATGCCATGCTGAGTGCCTGTCGCGAGGTGGGCCTGACGCACGCGCCGCCGCGAAAAGTCGCGGGCGAGGCCGTGATCGTAAAGGCTTGGCTGCGCGCGCAGGGGGGTGGAGGGAGGAGAACCGACAAAACCACCAGCGGGCCACCTCGAGCGAGGAGGGCCACGGTGGCACCCCGATCTGGAGACCGGGGACGCCACGAGCGGGACGCTGCGAAGCAGGGGGGGCACTGCATCATAAGAACCCTCCCTGGCTCCTCACGATGGCCGCTGTGGTGCCGATGTTCTTCGCTCCCTACCTTGTCGCGGCTTGTTTTCGCGTCGCCGGAGTTGGCGGCGGGCACAAGGGGGTGGCGCCATGGGGGGCGGCCTCCTGAGAAGGCGGGGGTGCTTAGAAGGCAGAGGAGGAGGAGGAGGAGGAGGAGGAGGAGGAGGAGGAGGAGGAGGAGGAGGAGGAGGAGGAGGAGGAGGAGGAGGAGGAGGAGGAGGGAGGGGGAGGAGGAGAAGGGGGGACGAGGGAGGTCCTGGCCTCTAGGCAGCCCTCTCGGAAGCTCCAGGGCCTGCTAAGAGGGCCCCAGACTTCTAAGGCGCCCTCTCGCCGCCTTCTTAGGCGCTCACAGGGTGATCATTGCCACCCCGTGTAGCGTGTGATCGCGAGTGCGCCCGCGAGCCACCCCCCCTCATGCGCAACGCCAGAGAGGCGATCGACACGCGAAGTGACATCGTGGAGTGCCACGTGCCGCTCCTGGCCGAGGGCTTCCGGTTCGCCGCGCGCGCGCTGGTTAAGGAGCCTTGCCGGGAGGCCCCGCGCCAGACAGCCGTGGGGCGCTTCCCAGTTCCTGCCTGTGCGGCTGCTGCTGCTGCGGCTGCTCCTCCCTTACTCCCCCCCTCCTCCCCCTCAGTCTTCCCTCCTCCTCCCGCCTCGCTCCTCCTGCTCCTCCTCCTCCTCCTCCTCCTCCTCCTCCTCCTCCTCCTCCTCCTTCTCCTCCGCCTCCTCCTTCTCCTCCTTCCTCCTCCTCCTCCTCCCTCCTCCTCCTCCTACTCCTCCTCCTCCTCCTCCTTCCCTCTACTCCCCCTCCTCCTCCCTCTCTCCCTCACCCCTCCTCCCGCTCCCCTCTCTCCCTCCCCCTCCTCCCTCTCTCCCTACCGCCTCTGCTCCTCCTCCTCCTCCTCCTCCTCCTCCTCCTCCTCCTCGAGTGCCTCCTCCTGTCCTCCTCGAGTGCCTCCTCCTGCTGCGAGAGTCGCTCTGTTGGCGCCCCCCCTCCGCGCTCCGCGTCGCGCGCGGCACCTGGACTGGGCGCTCCGACAGCGAGGACCCTGGGAGGGCCCACTCGCGCTCGTGGTGGGCCACGGTGCCCGTCATCCTCTCGAGCGCACCGGGACTGGGCGCTCCGACAGCGAAGGCCCCAGGAGGGCCCACCCGCGCTCGTGGGGCGCCACGGTGCCCGTCATCCTCTCGAGCACGGCCGTCGCTCTCCAGGAGGCGCGCCTGGGCCTGCCCGACTCCGCGGAGCAGCTGCTGGCCGCGCACACCGCGCTCGCGGAGGCCGCGCTCCCGACCAGGCTTGCCCAGCTGGAGGGCCTCTCCAGGACGGTGGAGGACCGGCGGCGGACACGGCGGGGCCACGGGGCGGGGAGATGGCCTCCTGAGGCGGCAGGGGTGGGCTCTTCAGGTGTCGTCGTGGGCGAAAGGCACGCGTCGGCCAAAAACCACACGACACCACCCCACCTGCGGCCCTCCATGTTGCGCCGCGGCCCTTCGGGGGCCGCTGCGTGTACCACGCCACAAACCCAAGCCGGAGCTATGGTATGTGCTGAGGCCCGTTGGGCCGTAGCTGGGGTGGTGGCGCCTTTGCTCTGCTCCGCACACCTTCCTCCGCGGCCTCGCGTGCCGGCCCCCTGGGCCTCGACCCCGCGGACACGGGGTGCTCTTCGCGGCTGCCCCGCGCGGAGCGTGGGATCGCGCCCCGGAGATCCCGACCGCGAGGACGCGGACATGGACACGTTGGCCGCTCGGGGTCCCCCCCCCTCCTCCCAGGAAGCCCTCCTGGAGGCCCCCCGGCCCCTTCTCTCAGAGAAGGGGCCGGGGGGCCTCCAGACTGGAGATCCCGACCGCGAGGACGCGGACATGGACACGTTGGCCGCTCGGGATGCCCCCCCCCTCCTCCCAGGAAGCCCTCCTGGAGGCCCCCCCGGCCCCTTCTCTGAGGCCCCCCTGCCGGTGCAGGCCGCCCGCCCCTTCGCTTCGGCTGCGTGCGAGGGTGACCCCTCGCCGGAGTGGCCTGCTGCCGCGCCGCTTTCGGGGTCGCGGGGCGGCCTCGACCCAGCCAAGCAGGGCGCTACCACCGCGTGGCGTGCAACCATCGGCAAGCCGCGTGTCAAAGGACACTGTTTGCCCAGGGGCAGGTCTTCGGGCCATGGCTCGGGTCTCAGGCAGCCTTTCGGGACGAGTCGGGCACCCCCGGAACGACCTCGGCGAGGCGCAGCTGCTGGAGTGCACCCCGAGGCGGGACAACCACCAGGAACAAACGAAGACGCCCTGAAACGGTAGCTCACAGGTGCTACCCTCGTCTTATGATGTCCCATTCTACTTTAGCCTCGACCACCAGAAAGAATTTCGAGCACCAAAAAAGTACCGAAGCTCGAGGGTTTTCACGTGTCGGGCCCTGGGAGACACTCGTCCGACACTGTTTCGACACTGTTCCGACACTCTTTCGACACTTTTCCGGGTGCTCGAAATTATTTTTGGGATGTGGTCCTTAAGTACGAGGGGAGCAGCATAGCCCTCGTCAATGGCCTCTCTTGCGCACAGCTGATTGGTGTGAGCTGACGTTCACGGTCTGAGTTCTCCCCCTCCGCTGGCTCCTCCCCTCCGTGCCCGCCCTGCCCCTCGTTTTCCCGCCTCTCGCCGGACTCACGTCGCCGTTCGGCGGCCCTGCGCCGCTCGGCCGACCCGCGCGCCCGTCCGGTCTGCGACAAAATCATACGGTGGGGGCGTTCGTCGTGGAAAGTGCCCAGGAGGCTCCTGCTCCTGGAGGGTTCCTAGTCTGATGAGGGCGGCGGTGGCATCCATGGTCAATGCACGGTCGGTGCTCCACCAATTTTTCAGACCCTGGATTCCTTGCCCACTGGCTCTTTCTCGAGTGCTCCCTCGCCGCAGTCCGCCGCTCAGCGCCCCTGGGCCGCTTGACAGACCCGCGCGCTCGCTAGGGCCTGCGGCTAGACGACGCAGCCGATTTCAGGAGGGAATAAAAACACACAGACACAATTATTAGTCGATTCCCAGAAAATATGGGAACATATGGGAAGTGGGGGGGAAGACAAAAACCCAGAAAATATAGGAAAAGATGGGGAACTATTTGATTTGTGTGTGTTTATTTGTGTGTCCTTGGGCCCCTTCACGATTGGCGCACGCCGCCAGAGGACGCCAGCCCGAGCACGCTCGCGCAGCTGGAGGACGGGCACCTGCAGCTGCAGCGGAGCCGGGCCGCGGCCGAGCAGGCGAGGAGGAACGTGGAGGCCGCGGTGCGCTCGGCCGAGGCCGTGGTGCCCCCGCCCGAGCGCGAGCGCGACGCCATCCTGCGAAGAGCGCTGGTGCGGCAGGGGAAGGAGCCGCCGGCGAGCTCGAGGGTCAGGAGGAGGAGGAGGAGGAGGAGGAGGAGGAGGAGGAGGAGGGAGGAGGAGGAGGAGGAGGAGAGGCAAGGAGGCAAGGAGGCAAGGAGGCAAGGAGGCAAGGAGGCAAGGAGGCAAGGAGGCAAGGAGGCAAGGAGGCAAGGATCCAAGGAGGCAAGGAGGCAAGGAGGCTTGGAGGAGGAGTTGGAGGAGGAGGCATGAAGGAGGAGGAAGATGAGGAGGAGGAGGAGGAGGAGGAGGAGGAGGAGGAGGAGGAGGAGGAGGAGGAGGAGGTGGAAGGTGGAGGGGGAGGAAGGACGATGATGCTGCTGCTGCTGCTGATAGTGAAGATGAGTAGGACGTTTTGAGTTCTCACTTCTAAAGAATCATTGTTGTTGATTCTCCCCTGCCCGGTAATCATTGCATTCTTCAAATTTAAAGGGTTCTCCCGGGGCTCGCCCCCTGTTGTTTACAAGGGGAAGTGAGGTGTCACCAAACTGGGTTGTTGGCTCCCGGCTTACAACAACAGCAGCAACAGCAGCAATATCTTTAAGACTGTTCGCTCCTATCTGCTCACGTGCCAATCAAGACGTATATCCCAAACCCTCGGTACCCGCCCTCGTCGTCTTCGATGGTACCCCCTTGGGGGTTCTCTTCCTTACCTGCCACGTGCATGTTGTGCAGCCCCCAAAACACGGGAAGAGAGGACGGGTGCAAGGGGGAGAGAAGAATGGAGCACGAGAGTAATTAGCAGGAGGGGACAATGAGCAGAACACCAGTGGTAGAACCAGACGGGCAGATCGGGTGGGCAGGCCCATAGCGGCAGGTCGGGAAGGCGGGCCCAGGCGACCAGGTCGAGCAGGCGTGTTGCTGAAGCGTGGGTCCTGCGTGAACCGCGAGGAAGTCTCGAGCGTTGCGCGATTCCCAAGTAAATCGCGAGAAGGCCCAACTCGAGAGCGTGATTCTTGAGCGCCGAGGGCGCATCGTCTGAATAACTTGCGAGGAAGTTCCACGAGAGAGCGCGATTCCTGTAGAAAGTATGAGGATTTCCCGCGCGAGAGCGCGATTTTGGAATACATTGCGAGGAAGTATCAGGCGGGAGCCGCTGTTGTTGTAAACTGGGGGCCAGCGGCGCAGTTTGAGGCAGAAGATTTTCCTTGATAAAAAAGCAGGGTGCGAGACCCAGGAGGGGCGCATCAATGGACACACTCATATTTTACTGGAAGGGGGGACCAACAATAGTTGTTCACGCTTCGCGTATCCCAACCAGCTGCAGCGCGTTTAGTAGCTAATTCGGCCGCTGTCGTGTCCCGAAGCGCTTCTGACTCCGCTAGCGCCTTCGCTAGCGGACGCGACCGAAAAAGTATCCCCACCAGTGTTTGCTAGTTCCCGCGCTACCTTGGCTACGCTGAGCCTGTTTCCGCGCCGGGTGCTGCCCTCATCACTGTTTTTTCCTTTGCTTTGGCGCGGCCCGCCCTAGCTTTGCCCGGCTTTCGACTTGCTTCGCGAGCCCTCGGACCAACAAGTATCCCAACCAACCCATCCCAAAACAGCACATGTTGCGACGCACGCCGCCTGTCGTGACTTTCGGGCGTGTCTCCTCCTGCTCTCGCATATTTCCTCCTCTTCCGCCCACCTCCTAACACTTTTTGTTATACATTCTTGTGGGGGCAGTGGGAGGAGGACGAAGCGGAGCTGGAGGAAGAGTAGGCGGTGTGCGGAGAAATGCGGATAGTGACGGCGAGGAGGACGACGGCGATGACCAGGATGACGAGGACGCGCCCGACGATGGCGACGGCGACGACAGGCGATTCCTATGTTGACGGGGAGGAGGAGAAGGAGGAGGAGGAGGAGGACGAGGACGAGGACGAGGGGGAGGAGGACGAGGAGGATGAAGAGTAATATCGGGGGGAGGAAGAGGAGGAAGAGGAGGACGAGGAGGAATAGGAGGAGGAGGAGGAGGAGGAGGAGGAGGAGGAGGAGGAGGAGGGGGAGGAGTATGAGGAGTAAGAGCAAGACGAGGAGGAGGAGGAGGAGGAGGAGGAGGAGGAGGAGGAGGAGGAGGAGGAGGAGAAGCGGAGGATGAGGAGGAATGGCAGGAGCACGAGGCGGAGGAGGACGAATAATGGCGGTGAGAGGAGAGAGAAACAATTAGGACGATGACGATGACCACGACAACGATGTCGCCTCCGACGGCGACGAAGACGAGACGACGACGACGACAACGACGACGACGAAGTCAACCATCAAGGCGTTTCTGGGTTTGTCGCTCGTGGGGGCTATGTTGCAGGTCTCTGGACTCTTTTGGGGTCCTCGTGGTGCCTTGTGGGGCACCCTTGGGGCTCTTTTGGGGGTCCTGGGGCTCTCTTGGGGCCATCTTGGCAGCCACGGCTCAAAAAGGAGAGTGGCGTCAATTACGGCCCCCCTTCGGAACCCGACAAGTCGCCTCTTGTGGCCATCTTGGGCCACTCTTGGGGCTCTCTTGGGCGCTCTTAGGCCCGCCTTGGGCCTCTCTTGGGCCTGTCTTGTAGCTCTCTTGGGCCATCTTCGGGCCATCTTGAAGCCTCAAGAGCCCATTGACAGCGAGAAGGCGAGAAGGCCCACACCATCGATGTTCCTTAGCTTTTTTTTAAGGATTTTGGTCTCTCGGGGGCGGCCTTGGAAGGCTCCGTGGCCAGTTTCGGCTGTCTTGGGGCGGTCTGGATGCCTCGTGTAGGCTTGTTAGGAGCTATCTTGAGTCATCGGGGGCTATCTGGAACGATCTTGGAGGTCATCTTGAAATCTCTTGGGCCGTCTTGGCGCCATATTAGGCCAAAACAGACGCTCCAACGACCCGCGCTCCCCCCCCCTCCAGGCCCAGGGGAAGGGGGTAGGGGAAGGGGTCAAGCTACCCACCCGTCCGCAAGCCGTCTAGCTCACTCCCAACCGCTCTCCAGACACATAAGTAACACCCGAGCCTGAGCATATTCAGCGGTCGCCTTTGGATGGGCAGCTACTGGGAACCACAGCCGACCGCAGGTGCGCGACGCTTGGGCGAGGTGCGCCACGCGTGCCAGGGGCGCCACGCACGCCAGGCACCCCTGGGACCCGAGCTTGCCAGGCACGCCTGGCGCGCCAGATGCGCCATGTGCTCCGAGTGCGCCAGGTGTGCCGCACACTCCAGCCGCGCCAGGTGCGCCATGTTCGGGGCACGTGCAGAGTGCGTCAGGTGCGCCTGCGCACGTGACAACACACGTCGGGAAACATGTCGACCCCCGTCATCCTTGTCGTTGTCGAAAGCCGATGCCCATCATTGTGTCTGGTGGGCCTGCGCACAGCAGGCCACGCGCCACCACCCCCGCGGTCCCTGTCAAAAACCATGTGACAGATCGCGGAATGGCCGCGCGCGATCTTTTGTCCCAATTTGTACTTTGCATTGTTTTTTGACAGGGGTGGTGGGGGGGGCCGCATTGGGTTTGCCGCGCATGCTCCAAATGTGGTGGCAGAGTGCGTTTTTTTTTGTTTGCTTGTTTGTTAAATTTTATTTCATTTCATGTATTAAAATATTTTTTTCAAAAAAAAGGGATGGTGAGGGGCGGGTCGTCATGGTGTCCTCATGGTTCCTGGTTGGACGCTGGTCGTCTGTGGGAGGGTTGTATATTAGTAGGGCACAATGATAAACCCCTCCCTGAAGGGGAGAAGGGGGTGGAACAGAACGGGCTCTCTAAACCACCTCCGCCCAGTTGTTGTTGTCGTCGTCGTCGTCGTCGTCATCCTCGTTGTTGAACATTATTTCTTCTTAAGAATAATTATTGTTGGGACCCCTGGTGCACGACCCCCCCGCCGCGCCTAGGCCGCAGCCTCATTTTCATCATTTTCGTGAGGAAGTCTCAGGCAAAACGATGTGGTCCAGATCCGG